CGGGGGCAGCGGGTGCAGTGTTGGAGCAGCGGGGGCAGCGGGGGCAGTGCTGGGAGCAGCGGGGGCAGAGGGGAGGAAGTCAGACTCTAGAATGTGTATTTAGAGTGATGACGTAGTATCTCAACCAAACCTGTGACAACAAAGTCATGTGGCAGAGGAGAAAACAGAAGGGTTCACAAATCATACTCCTGCCCTTACTTTCCCAGTCAATTTTAAATGGCCGGAAGGCTGGTGTATCAGTTCCCTGTGGCTGCTAGAACAAAGTTACCACACACTGGGTGGCTTATAACAACGGTCATCGATTCTCTCCCAGTTCTGGAGGCCAGAAGTTGGAAATCAAGGTGGCAGCAGGGCTCTGCTCCCTCTGGAGGTTCAGGGAAGGCTCCAGTCCCATCTCCCCCAGCTCTGGTGGTGCCACGTGTTCCTGGGCTCGTGGCTGCATCGCCCCTGCCTCTCTGTCCATCTTCCCGTGGCCTTCCCACTCTGTGTGATCACCTGGTGTATGTCTGTATCCACGTTTCCCCTTCTCATCTCAACTGAATATGTTCCCCAGTAAGGTCGCTTTCACAGGTACCAGGGCTTAGGACTCCCATATGACCTTTTGGCGAACACAGTTCCCAGCACAGAGGGCCCATTCCTGGCCCACAGTGTTTTCTGCCATGCCTGGCATCGAGCCTCCTTCTCAAACCCTCTCTGCCTTTGGCACTCACTCAACTTCCTGCAGACCCCTCTGTTTTTCTCAGCAGCTGCAGGATTTAGGTAGGTCGTGGCTCTGCTTTTGTTCTCCTCACTGTATGTGTGAAAATACCAGGTCACTGGCACAATGGAGTGTCTCGAAAGAATGCAGGGCGCTGCCCTGAGAGCTTCATCAGCTTTCACATTTATGCTATCACTTCTTCAAGTATTAGACAGAGGCCAGCCACGTTGGCTCACGCCTCTAATCCTAGCACTTCGGGAGGCTGAGGTGCGAGGATTACTTGAGTCCAGGAGTTCAAGACCAGCTTGGGCAATATAGTGAGACCACAACTCTACAAAAAAATATAAAAAATTAGCCAGGCCTAGTGGCGTGTGCCTGTAATCCCAGCTACTCAGGAGGCTGAGGTGGGAAGATCACTTGAGCCCAGGAGGCAGAGGTGGCAGCAAGCTGAGATTGTGCCACCGCACTCTAGCCTGGGTGACAGAGCGAGATGCTGTCTTAAAAAAAAAAAAAAAACTAGACAAAGAGATACTTCAGATATGACCTTTCTTCTTCTTATCTCCAATAATCATCCTTTGCATCTGCAAACACGTGGTGAGGCTGGGAAGTACACCTAGGTACTTTTCCCACTATACCATGCTATCAATCTATTCTTTTTAGCTTTTTCTCTCTGTCCTCAGTCCCAAAAAAGATGATAAACTCCATGAAGAAGGACAGAGTTATACATTTTTGCACGCCTCATAGCATTGGCAGCTTTGGAGATTTTGATTAGATGTTTTGAGTGATAAAGCGAGTGGCTCAGGGCACACGGTAAATGTGCGTACCAGGCTGGCTGCTTGCTAAGCCCGGTCTCCATCATTTATTGTCAGGGACACACGCCCATGTCAGGGCAAGTAAAGATTCCACGCTGTGGCTGAGATCTCTTCCTGTCAATGAGACGGGGCTCCTGGCAGGCCTCAGACTCTGCTCCTTGAACCTCAGTTTCCTCATCCATTGGGTTAGAAAGATGTTCTCTAAATTCACTTCAGCCTTGATATCCTTTGATTTCTTTTTCTTTCTTTCTTCCTTTTTGAGACTGAGTCTTACTCTATCAACCAGGCTAGAGTGCAGTGGCACGATATTGGCTCACTGCAACCTCCACCTCCCAGGTTCAAGTGATTCTTGTGCCTCAGCCTCCCGGGTAGCTGGGATTACAGGCGACCGCCACCATGCCTGGCTAATTTTTGTATTTTTAGTAGAGATGGGGTTTTACCATGTTGGCCAGGCCAGTCTTGAACTCCTGACCTCAAGTGATCCACTGGCCTCGGCCTCCCGAAGTGCTGGGATTACAGGCATGAGCCACTGTGCCCGGTCCCTTTGATTTCTTTATGAGTGTGTTGGTCAAATGGCTCACAAGCCCTTTGGGGGATCAGATAAAAGCCAAGGACCTGGTCTCTGGAAAATGTCATTTTAGGGGGCACACGGAGCCTCTGTAGCCCATCAAGGACCCCAGGTTCAGAGCCATGGCCTGAGTCACCACATAGCTAGAGAGCTCTGTGTGCACGAGTTCTGCCAGTGTTGCTGGGCTCTGGGCTTCACCTTCCTCTTCAGACTTCCTCAACCTGCAGCATTCACAAGCTGGCCATTGGCTGTGCTCAGTCAGGGTTCTGTTTTAATCAGTGTTTCCCACTCAGAACCCCGAATCCCCTGCTTGGTGTCCAGCTGCACCACTGACTCCAGCAATGTCAATTCAGAGAGGCTAAGGACGTGGTGTAGAGAACAACTCTGCTTATGTGGCTCTGACAATTCCTTAGAGCTGGGTGATTCTACAGCTATCGGTTTGGTTTTGTACTTGTTTGGCCAAAGCACAGAATAAACTGGAATTCAGCAATTTAAATGAACACTTCAAAAATCTATCCTGAAAAAGAGTAATAATATAGTCAAAGAACAAATTACAAATGGTAAAAGTGTTTTAAAACTTACTGATGATGCTCTTTTGCTCTACCAGATAAAAAACAAAATGTGAAGAAAGCAAAAGCTGCGCCTTGGACAGACCAGCTGGCCAGGGCATAGCCACACCACTCTATGATTTCTCCAAAATAGTTGGCTGCAGTTACGTATTCAAATAAGCCTCCTAGAAGAAAACACAGACCAAAGTAGTACATTTACTACAAAATGAAATATGGACTTCAGAGATGCTAGTGAATACTTACCTGGAGAACATAAATTCAAGAACGGAAAAATATTTCCCTTATAGGATGTTAATCAATAAGACATATCCAGCGCTACATGGTTTACTAATTCATATCACAGCTTCTGATCATCAACTACATATATATATATATCAATACCCGTCTATGTGAATACATGCATGTACAGTTACAGTGGAAGACACCACTAAACCACTGCACCTGTTGATGGATCATGCAAGCAGAGAATACAGAGTAACAACTAACAATGAACTAGCAAGTAAAATGGACCTAAATAGAACCCTAGAGCAATGAGTGACGAAGATACTCACTTTCAAGCACAGATTCATTCACTCATTCATTCATTCATTCATTCATTCATCACATCTTCACAAATGCGCTGAGTCAGTATTATGCCCAGGCACTTGGACAGACCCCCTCCCCACATCTAGAACCATAAACCCCAGTGTCATGAACAAAGAGAGCATGCAGCACATGGAGGGGGAGGAGTAGTGAGGGGCAGGGCACAGTAGTGAGGGGCCCTGGAACTGGGATGGGGTGGAGGAGGTCACCATCACAGAGTGGCTGGGAACAAGCCTCACAGGGAAGGTGAGGGTAGATTCAAGGCTTGCAAGCGAGGGCCAGCCTGGCAGGTGCTGGGGGTGCTCTCAGGAGTGCTCCAGGCAAGAGAAGAGATGCAACAAAGGCCCTGAGGCGGAGAGCAATGGCTGGCACACTCCAAGGACCAGACGAGGGGCAGGGAGAGGGGTCCTAGCAGAGAAGGAGGGCAGGAGGCCCCTCCTTGGGACTTGGGACTCACCCTCAGGCTGTAGCTTTGTGGCTACTCAAGTGTGTTCTAGAGAGGCCTGATGTATTCTGCCCTGGGTTCCGGTTGGGCACTATGTCTGCAGAGCTGAGAAAATTCAGAAGGCATATAAGGACAGAGCATTTTTTAAAAAATTAGGCCGGGTGCGGTCACTCACGCCTGTAATCCCAGAACTTTGGGAGGCTGAGGCAGGTGGATCATGTGAGGTCAGGAGTTCCAGATCAGCCTGGCCAACATGGTGAAACCTTGTCTCTGCTGAAAATACAAAAATTAACTAGGTGTGATGGTGCACGCCTGTAGTCCCAGCTACTCGGGAAGCTGATGAATAAGAATCGCTTGAACCCAGGAGGCACAGGTTGCAGTGAGCCGAGGTCGTGCCATTCATTGCACTCCAGCCTGGGTGACAGAGTTAGACTCTGTCTCAAAAAAAAAAAAAAAAAAAAAGACAAACCGATTACACCCTAAGTCTTAAGACCAATTGCAACAAATACTGCAGCATAGGGTAGAGACTAGTTCTCTGAGCACACTGCAACTTACGTGCGTGAGGGCTTTGGCTGGAGCTGAGATGATCTTTTTTTTTTTTTTTTTTTTTGGAGTTTTGTATTTTTAGTAGGGACGGGGTTTCACCATGTTGGCTAGGCTGGTGTCGAATTCCTGACCTCAGGTGATCCACCTGTCTCAGCCTCCTAAAGTGCTGGCATTACAGGCATGAGCGACGGCGCCCAGCCTGAGATGGTCTCTTTTTTAAAAAGAAAGAAAATGGTTTTGCTGAGCCCAAGACAGCAAAGTGCTTTTCTTTTTCTTATTGAAGGAAGGTGGGGGTGTGTAGATGTTTGCAATATTGAGCTCTCTACTACTTTTCTGTAAGCTTGAAATAATTCATAATTGTAAAATAATACTGATACGGTTTGATTTTGTGTCCCCACCCAATCTCATCTTGAACTGTGATCCCCACAGGACAAGGGAGGAACCCAGTGGGAGGTGACTGGATCATGGGGGCGGTTTCTTGTGCTAGTGAATTCTCATGAGATGTAATTGTTTGAAAGTGTGAGGCAGGTCCCCCTTCGCTTGTTCTCTCTCCTGCCGCCATGTGAAGGTCTTTGCTTCCCCTTCGCCTTCTGCCATGATGGTAAGTTTCCTGAGTCCTCCCCAGCCATGCGGAGCTGTGAGTCAATTAAACCTTTTTTCTTCATAAATGACCCAGACTCAGGTAGTTCTTTATAGCACAGTGAAAACAGACTAATACAAATAGCAACATTCATTGACAAACAAACTTTTTAATGACAATATAATACATAAAAATATCAAACTTAATGCCCAATAAATAGAATGTCATTCACAATGTGTGGGCATATGCACCTGCAGAAGCGCCTGCAAGAATGGACCCAAAGCATTCACAGCGCTGTTCCCTCTGAACCGTGGAGTTTAGTCACTGTCACTTTCTTATTCACCCATTTCTGTAACTGCTTCAACTTTCTACAACATGACATTAATGATCATCTGTATTTCAACAGAGCCCTGGGCAGCTGAATCCCAGACGTGGAAGGACCTTTGCACCCCGTCCTGCAGATGCCAGTCACCCAAAGGGCAGACAGCCTGTGGGGAGGGCTGGGGCCATGATGCCTTCCCGCATGCAGCCTGCTCAGTGAACCTTCTCTCGGAGGGTCCAGTGTGGGGCACATTATTTGGTGGAACCATATGGGTGGACCAGTAAGCATGTAATTAGACCGGAAAACCTGGAGATGCCAATCTGCCAAAAAATGTCGTCTTGAGACACAGGCTGCTTACAGACGCCACATTACAAAACCACAAACTGGTCGTCACACACAGCCCACAGCACTTGCCCTAAGCCCCAATTCAGCCTGTATGTACCGACTATGGGCATCCTATCTGTGCACCTCTCTTTATCTCTTTATTTGTTCATTTTGTCACTTGCTCCTTTGACACTAACCAGTTACGGCACCGTTATTAACAGAGTCCTGGGAAGCATTTCTGAAAGACCTCACGTAGTCACTGGATGTAGACGGCACACCTGTGTATTAGAAACCATGAGTGTGTCATGTAAAAACACCCTGCAAATTAAGAGTCTGCAGTGAGGGGGGCCAGTCACAAAGCCGACCATGGTGGAGTCCTCATGGGGCTCAGCACCCAGATTACCTATACCTGTAGTCTTCAAAACCTGACAGATTTTACACGAGGGACTCCAAAGCTAGGATAAAATTTTGGCTTCCACATTCCTTGGGCCCCTCATGGTGCTGCCTCTAAGGCCTTGGCACTGAATGTTGCCCTGAAGAATCTAACAAACCTTCCCTTATGAGCCACTCACGGCACGTGCAGATGATCGTCACTGTTTCCTGTCGACTTTCCCTGGTACAGGGTGTGCACTTGCAAACGGCAGACGCTCTTGCATCTTGTTTTACTTCACAAAAGCTTTCTTGAATTAGTTTTTAAAATATGTTCTGTTTCAATGCTTTGGATTTCTTCTTCATGGACTTCAACGTGCCTAGGATGGATATATTTTCCTTACTTCTCCAGCTATCGCCAAAAACGTCATTCACAATAAGAATGATTTTTTTTTTTTTTTGACAGGGTCTCCCTCTGGAGTGTAGTGGCGTAACTGAGGTTCACTGTAGCCACAAACTCCTGGGTTCAAGTGATCTTCCCACCTCAGCCTCCTGAGTGTCTGGGACCACAGGTGTGCACCACCATGCCTGGCTAATTTTCTTTCATTTTTCTTGTAGAGATGGGGGTCTAGCTATGTTGTCTAGGCTGGTCTCGAACTCCTGGCCTCAAGTGATCCTCCTGCCTCAGCCTCCTAAAGTGTTGGGATTACAGGTGTGAGCCACTGCACCCAGTCTAGATATCATATTCTTTGCTTTTTCATTTCTATCTTCTGATATGCTTCTGTGGTGTTTTTGTTTTTTTTTCCCCCGGTCTTGTGGGCCTTTTAATTTAATGATTAGAAATAAAGAATTTTGATCTTGTCTGATCTTGAAAGCTAAGCAAGGTCGAGCCTAGTTAGTACTTGGATAGGAGAAATTAAAAATTTTAGAAGCATTTTCTTTCTTAAGTCTCATGTGTCCCATGTCATCTGCACCGACGTCTGGTGCTACTTCCTGCTGCCTGAGAGTCGCAGCCAAGCTTCTACATGTCCTTTGGCCTATCTGTTCTCAGAGATGCCATTGATGGCCATAGGCCGTCGGGAAGCTGGGTTGATTACTAGCTGCAGGAAGGAGGCTATGCACTGTAGGGAAATGTGGCAGGGAGGGGTCTCCCTTTACTGAGACAGAAAATAAGCTGTTTGTAGATTGCAGGTTCATTGCAGGTGTTCTTCAGCTGATGGGTATAGACCCTGCAACTGCTCCATTCACATTTTATTTGTATTTTTTACTTTTTTGAGACAGAGTCTCACTCTGTCGCCCAGGCTGGAGTGCAGTGGCATGATCTTGGCTAACTGCACCCTCTGCCTCCCAGGTTCAAGCGATTCTCGTGTCTCAGCCTTGTCTCAGCCTCCTAAGTAGCTGGGATTACAGGCATGTGCCACCACACCTGGCTAAATTTTGTGTTTTTAGTAGGGATGGGGTTTTACCATGTTGGCCAGGTTGGTCTTGAACTCTGGACCTCATGTGATCTGCCCAACTCGGCCTCTCAAAGTGCTGGGATTACAGGTGCAGCCACCACGCCTAGCCTCCATTCACATTTTAAAACTCATGTTGGAATTTTGATTACAATTTTCCCCTGCTTTGTGAAACATGTTTCTGCTCAGGTAAGTTTTGCTGCTTCTTTGCTGTCCCAATGTTATGACTGCACAGATTTGGGGATCGTACCTTTTTTGTTCTTCAGGTTTCAATATGTTGGATTAGAACAAGGATCAGACATGAGAGCAGGAAATGGAGGGAAAGAGGCTGAAAAGTTTTTGTGGCATCTCAACTAGTGTGGGACAGTGGACAGGACCCTCTGTATGAGGCACGTCAGGCCTTTCCGTGACCAGCCTGGCCCAGGAGGGCCCTCCCATGGGATCCTGCCATCTCTGGGGATGCCCTTTCTTTTGGAAGTGGTGTTTCTCAAATCTGCCAGTCTGTGGCTTCTGGCATCTTCTGTACCTTTTCATTCTCCCTCCCCCAGGACTGTGCCCTCTCCCTTCTTTGTCTGGCTCATGGCAGCCCCTCCTTAGGACAGCGCCCTCTCCTTCAGGGGACAAACACTTGCCAATGAATCTGGAATCATGCTGTTCCCCATGCAAGGGTGCTGGGCACAAAGCGAGGGGGCCACCATCCAGCTTACATTGCACTCTCCCAGCCACTGTACCTGCCAGAGGAAGTGGCTCCTTGGGATGACCCCATGAGGGTGCAGTTTGCTTATAAGCCCAACACCAAAGAGGGGATTCTTCCCCAATCCGCCCAGGGGCTGAATGGGTGATCAGCAGCCTGTCTAGGACTCTGTCATGTTTTCTCTTCTCTGCCACTTCTATCACACTACCATCACATGTGGAGCTGGCTTTGCTGATTCCAGGTTCTCAGGGTCACAGTTTTAGTAATTTGGGATTTGGAGCGTTGTTTGTTTTTGTTGCTATTCTCATATGGTTTCTCGGAACATAAGTGGAAGAAGTTCAAACTAAGTGATGTCATGCCCTTTCTCCATTAAAATTTTAGATTTCTGTACTTTACATTTTTTTTCTGAAACTCTATTGGTTTCTAGTCCTTTTTATGGTACATTGCTTCTTTACTCCTAATTGTAATTACTCGTTATAAAAAGCATTTAAAGTACTCACTTTATAATGTTTCCATTAATTCTAACATCTGAAACCTTTCACGTTGAATTACATTCTCCCTCATGGTGCTGTACTTCCTTGTGGGTTTTGTACCTCTTACTCTGTGGAGTGTGGCACATTGGGTTCTTTGAGACTCAGGTTGAATGCAGATCTGGGCTTTTGCTGGCCAGGAGAGTCCACCACCACCCTAGGCCACGGAAATTAATTCACGGCTTGAGATTTTTCATGCTATACAAGTAGTGCGAATCTGGGTTATAAACCAGCATGGGGGTTGGTGCCTCGTCACAGATTCTCAAAAGACACGCTCCAGATTCCATCATTCACCTAGATCTTGTCCTCTGATGATTACTTCCTTTCTTGATAGTATACTGATGCGTTTAAGAAGATTTTCAAAATATTCCAACATTTTAAACTGTTTTCAGAGGAGGGTCAAAGTATCTATTCCATTATACTGCTAGAAACAGAAGTGTCAGACACTCCTTGTAAATCACACATTCTTCCTCATCCTCTCTTTCCAAGCACAGATATAACTGTAGTTTCTGCTTTGTTTAATAACTGTTCAGTTAGCCAGATTTGGATCTTTTGTTATTCTAATAAGACAATAATAACAGCACTTGTTATTAATAATGATGACTTACACTGAAAACTTGTAGCTAATAAATACCATGCTACTACTTCTTAGAGCTGGCAACACTAAAATAGACAGGCACCATGGCACACAACTTTCACAGAAATTCTTCACTTTCAGTACGTACCCCTTGGTATTTTGTATCCAGTGTCTCCTGGTTTTCTGAGATTCCTTAGGATATGATCTGAATGGATGTTTATCAACATACCCGTTAACCACAAGCCAAAACCTAAAGGAAAAAAATTGCAAGATGATTGTGGCTAATAAACCATAAAATTTCACTACGAGCCCCAGCCTGACTGAACAGTATTATTGCAACCCTTCATATTACCATTGTTAGTGCAACATATTAGCCATAACTGATAGTAAAAACCATCAAGCACCTTTGTCAGGTATGCTAAGCAGGGCTTTGTTTTTCTAATAATACAAATACATCATCTAATGTATTCAAAATATTTTGACCTGATCATCACAATCTACATTTTCAAGATGACAGGTATGGATAGAAATCTGACTTGGGCACAAGGCTCCTTTCCAGGGACCATCAGGGAGTCAGCCCACCAAACAGACTCATCCCACTTATTTCTCACAAAGTCTGCACGAGGCAATGCTACCATCTCCACCACATGGACCAGGAGGGGTGATGCTCCTGTGCTGCTCTGTCACCACTGGCTGTACACTGCCCCTTGAGGGGTGGCAGTTCCTAGGAGCCGATCTCTGGTCTTCTCTTATTTACGACCTCATTTGAACAAATCAATGCACATCCACATTTCCCCTACCGCAGAATTCCTGCAGGCTCATCAATCAGCATTCCTCGGTCAGTCCTTCTTCCTCGGTTCCTGACAACAGTCTACCATGGCTGGCTGCACGGCTCTCCCCAGAATCCCACGGTATCCCCAGTTTTCTCTCCTATTCTAACAAATCTGCAGGGATTTTTCATCACTTAAAGGAGAGTTCTTAGTATTACATCAATTAATTCCATCAAGAAAACGCTCAAGGCCAAAACAGTGCTTTATAAAAGAAATATTGATAAAAAGGGGTTAACTTGATAGTTCTGATATACTTTTTTAAAATGTGAAAGACAGATGCTGCTTAATGCTGGCATTTAGTTCAATATTAAATCAATGTACACGTGGGGTATCATTATTATTTGAGTCATCACATCAGTGACATTGAACACTTTTTCACAGAACTAGGACATGGAAAACCTTCTGGTCTATAGCAAGGGTTTCAAGATTTCTTCCTTCTGATTTTGCCACTGTAATCAGCTTTTTTTTTTTTTTTCTAAGCAGTTCATACCATGCTTTATAATAGGTTTTGTAAGTCATTTATTGGATCCATACATTTATAGTTGATTTGCTACCTTTTGGGGATTTTAGTATTTCACTCCTAGGTAATTGGGCTTCCAATACGAGGTTCTAGAAAGAAATCATGTTGTCTAAATAACATGGCTACTTTATGTTTCTTCTAGGAGACAAGCTCCCTTTATTGCTTAGATTGGAAGAAAACTAGTACTTGTGTTCATCTAAGCTAAATATTTAATTCCATTTATAAGAATCTTAAAATCTAGCTAGGCACAGTGGCTCACACCTATAATCCCAGCACTTTGGGAGGCCAAGATGGGTAGATCACTTCAGGCCAGGAGTTCAAGACCAGCCTGGCCAACATGGTGAAACCCCATCTCTACTGAAAATACATAAATCAGCCAGGTGCGATGGTGCACACCTGTAATCCCAGCTACTCCAAGGCTGATGCACAAGAATTGCTTGAGCCTGGGAGGCACAGGTTGCCATGAGCCAAGATTGTGCCACTGCACTCCAGCCTGGATGACAGGCTGCCTCAAAAAAAAAAAAAAAAAAAATTCTTAAAATCTTTCTATAAAATATTTTAGATTAACCACTTTTGCTGTTTTGGAAAACCTTTTATTAGAAATTCTTTGCATGGTGGGTGACACCTGTAATCCCACCACTTTGGGAGGCCGAGGCAGGTAAATCACCTGAGGTCAGGAGTCCAAGACCAGTCTCGCCAACATGATAAAACCCTGTCTTTACTAAAAAAATACAAAAATTAGCTGGGCATAGTGACATGCACCTATAGTCCCAGCTAATCAGGAGGCTGAGGCAGGAGAATCTCTTGAACCCAGGAGGCAGAGGTTGCAGTGAGCCGAGATTGCACCACTGCACTCCAGCCTGGGCGATGGAGTGAGCCTCCATCTCAAAAAAAAAAAAAAAGAAAAGAAAAAAATTTATTATTATTTGGTTATGACTTCATAGTAACTACAGTAGGCATAATTACTTATTTATGTAATTTCATGTCTGTTCCCTCATAAAAACAACTCTAGGCAATAAATATAACACACAAAACGTAACCTAGATTGTCTTCCAATTGGCATATTTTTTCCTTTTCAAATCCTTCTGTTTAATTGTAGAGAAGTCAAGAGGTCTGTATTTCTTGGTGTTTGGAATCTCTGACCAGCTTCACAGTCACCTCTACATGATGCGAACCATCCGCGGAGCTACTTTAAATAGGAGGGTTCTTTTGTTGTTGTTCATCATAGAAGTGAGTTCCACGAGACTCTCTAGTAAACACTTAAAATCTGTATCTTCAGTTAAAAAGAAATTCCCTTTCCTCTTATTTCTTGTTGCCACTTGTGGACACTCAGCTTGGCGAGGCGGCAGAAATCACCACTCTGCCATTCACTGCGTCTAGATATCGTGGGCCAGCTGTGTAACTCTTCTGACCTTTCACATCTTATGGGCATCCTTTCTGCCTCAGAGAACATGGGGAGGCATAAATCGTGTGATTTGCATAGGAACTCAAAAGCCTGTTCTTCCTCTTGACAGGTAGGGCAGAAGAAAATAAAGTAGTCAAAAAGCAGGTAAACCAAGAAGATATTTGGGGGTACTGTACAACAGTTTAGTACCAAACAATTTAGCCTAGCATTTCATGGAGGCACAGATTTCTGGGGCTAGAAAAGGATCCTGAAACGCCTTCTCAGCCAACCCTCCTTTTGTAGAGGAGGGACAGGTGTCTCACTGTAACGATCCTCAGGTATGGTGAAACCTTGGAATAAAATTCGAATTCACCGACAAAAAACACGACTGAGAAATGTGAAAGGGACCTCTCAGCAACAAAGTGCTATCCAAGTGTTAGTTTATTTCTATGATTATAAATTAACACTCATGGAGAAGCAGAAAAATGCAGTGTCAGGTTATTTTATGTAGCTTAAGGGGAAGTACTGCAGGGTAGTTTCCAAATCTGACAGACTATAACTTTTAGCATGCTGCCGTTGTGAGTAAGCTACACCTCAGCATGGTTTAATAGCTAAATGCTAGGACAGACTAAACAAATACATAGAAGAATCTTTCTTATATACAAGACTCCTGAGTTTTGTTTTTTTGTTTTTTTGTTTTTTTTTTTGAGACACAGTCTCACTCTGTCACCCAGGCTGGAACACAGTGGCACAATCATGGCTCACTGCAGCCTTGACCTCCTGGCCTCAGGTGATCCTCCCACCTCAGTGCCTCTGAGTAAGCTGGGACCACAGGTGTGTGTCACCATGCCCGGCTACATTTTTGTATTTTGTGTAGAGATGCAGTTTTGCGACGTTGCCCAGGCTGGTCTTGAACTCCTGGATTCAAGTGATTCTGCCCACCTCAGCCTCCCAAAGTGCTAGGATTACAGTGGGAGCCACTGCATCCAGCCAGATGATGAATTTTTAATGCTCTTGCAAATATCGTTGATGGCTGTTTTATTTTCATTTTTGCTCAGAACTTACAAAGTTATAATTAGAGGTTGAAAATGTACATTAATTCACATTAACTGATACAAACAAAAAAATTCATCAACTTCATAAACCTAAAAGTTGATTCAAGTTCATAGAATCACAAAAGCTGCACTGTAGGAAGTTAACCCAGGCTGAGTTTTTCTCATGTCACAGAAGGAACCGCAGGAGGTTTGGGTCCTGTCTTAGATTAAGTGGTCAATGAGTGGCCAAAGTGTCTCAATCTTTAGTCCCTGCTCATTCTGCTACAGTGCGCTGCTATTTTTGGGTTCTTGGCCTGACCAGGCACCTGTGCTTCAGCGCTTGCCCATGCAGGGGAAGGTTCCCATCACCTGCGTCACCTCCCTGCCCCGAGTTGTGCTAAGACAGCTGGGTTGTCCCATGGGGACTCCGGGTCCTGCTGCTCTCTCTGCTGTGAGTCTTTGTTCTCACAGGAAGTTTGGACTTCTCATTAGAAACCACTGGGACATCAACATAAAAGCAGTGATGTGAACAAGGCGGAGTTCACTGCTGTGGACACTCACCTATTAGAAAACGGGGATCTGTTACCCAGTCATCAGCATACACTGCCCAATGGCTCAAGTATCTGCTTTGCAAATAGCCGTTAAAGGTACAGAACATAATCGCCATTGTACACGCCAACAGTGGCATAGGCTTTCCTCCTCGCATCAGAAATGGGTAAATTAAGCACCTTAGGAAACAAGAAACAGGCACAAATTTTTAAAAAATTAAAGATAATCATTTCTGTAATCCTGTCTTAAATGATTTGGGTTTTAAATCTTACTTTCTTGTACAAACGTCATCCTCAGTAACATTCATACTGATTTATTATATCTAAGCTAAAAGTGGATTTTGACTTTAATTTTATTTTTTGAGACAGGTTCTTGCTGTGTTGCCCAGGCTGCAGTGCAGTGGCATGATCATGGCTCACTGCACCCTTGAGCTCCAGGGTTTAAGCAATCTTCCTGTCCCAGCCTCTCGAGTAGCTGCGACTACAAGCATGTGCCACCACACTATTATTATTATTATTATTATTATTATTATTATTATTTTGTAGAGACCAGGTCTCACTCTGTTGCTCAGGCTGGTCTCAAATGCCTGCCTCAAGTGATCTTCCTGCCTTGTCCTCTCAAAATGCTGGGATTATAGGTGTGAGCCACTGTATCCAGCCAAAAAGCAGACTTTTAAATAAAGCATTACCACGTTTCAATTATGTTCACCACAGTGTACAAACTCCAGATTCTACTTACATACAATATAAAACAGAATACATTGAATTTAGGAAAATTAGGGGCTTCAAGAAGCTTTCAAAATTTCCACTATCCTAAAACCATTAACTAGTCCTAGTCTGAGCAATAAGATTTGGAACACATCATCACATCATCCATCACCACTGCAATGGCTTCCATTCACTGAGCACTTTCACCTGCTAGCCCCGCCCCCCATTCCCCCTACAACTCCTTGCCCCCCCTACCTCAGCTAACCCGGCAGAGGCACTCTTATCCACATTTGATAGAGGATAAAATTAAGACTCAGAGTGGTTAAGTAAGCTGCTCAAGGCCACGGGCTAGTGAGTGGCTGAGATTAAACGTAAACTGGGGCAATTCAAATATCATGTTCTGTTGTACCACACTGGCTTAGATGCACTTTACTAAAGGTTTAATGAGTGAAAATAAAAGGACAAGAAATTAGAAAATTATAAAGAGAATGCAAAATGTTATTCTCTGTTTGAATTTTCTTTTTAATATCAGTGTATAACACACTGAAAGAGGGGACATCACTACATATCCTACAGACCTTAAAAGGATAATAAGGAACTCTTTTTTTTTTTTTTTATTCAAGACAGGGTCTTTTTCTGTCACCCAGGCTAGAGTGCAGTGGGGCAATCATGGCTAACTGCAGCCTCAACATCCTAGGCTCAAGTGATCCTCCTGCCTCAGCTTCCTGAGTAGCTGGGACCTTAGGCACATACCACCACACCTGGTTCATTTAAAAACTTTTTTTGTAGAGACAGGGTCTCTCTGTGTCTGGTCTCTAGTTCTGCTCTTGAACTCCTGGGCTCATGTGATCCACCCAGATAATAAGGAACTATTATGAACAACCTTATGCCAATAAATTTGACAACTTGATGAAACAGACAAAGTCTTTGAAAGACACAGATGACCAAAACTGACCCAAGAAGGAAGAAAGACAACATGAATAGCACTGTTACCAATGAAATAAATCCAGTTTAGACTTATGAAATTCTAGAAAAGGCAAAATGAGACTCAGGGGAGAAGATTAACTACAAAGATTAACTTTCCCTTTTTGGGCAATATTACTGCTCTCTATATATTAATAGATAGTGAAGGGTGGGCAGGCAAGATGGCTGAATAGGAACAGCTCCAGTCTGCAGTTCCCAGCGAGATTGACACAGAAGGTGTGTGATTCTTGCATTTCCAACTGAAGTACCTGGCTTATCTCACTGGGACTGGTTGGACAGTGGTGCAGCCCAGGGAGGGTGAGCTGAAGCAGGGTGGGGCATCGCCTCACCTGGGAAGTGCAAGGGGTCGAGGGATTTCCTTTTCCTAGCCAAGGGAAGCCGTGAGAGACTGTACCAGGAGGAACGGTGCATTCTGGCCCAGATACTGCACTTTTCCCACAGTCTTCACAACCAGCAGACCAGATTCTCTCCAGTGCCTGGCTCAGCAGGTCCCACCCTGATGGAGCCCAGCAAGCTAAGATCCACTGGCTTGAAATTCTCGCTGCTCCACAGCAGTTTGAGGTCTACCTGGGATGCTAGAGCTTGGTGGGGGAAGGGCATCCACCATTGCTGAGGATTGAGTAGACGGTTTTACCCTCACAGTGTAAACGAAGCCCCAGGAAGTTCAAACTGGGTGGAGCCAACCACAGCTCCCTGGAACAGAGCACCTGGGGGAGGAGGCAGCTGCGGGTGCAGCTTCAGCAGACTTAAACGTCCCTGCCTGACAACTCTGAAGAGAGCAGCGGTTCTCCCAGCACAGTGTTCGAACTCTGAGAAGGGACAGCCTCCTCAAGTGGGTCCCTGACCCCCTGTGTATCCACACTGGAAGACTCCTCCCAGTAGGGGCCAGACACCTCATACAGGAGAGCTCTGGCTGGCATCTGGCGGGTGACCCTCTGGGATGAAGCTTCCAGAGGTAGGAACAGGCAGCAATCTTTGTTGATCTGCAACCTCCACTGGTGATACCCAGGCAAACAGGGTCTGGAGTGGACCTCCAGCAAACTCCAGCAGACGTGCAGAAGAGGACCCTGACTGTTAGAAGGAAAACTAACAAACAGAAAAAAATAGTATCAATATCACCAATATCAAAGACCAAAGGTAGATAAATCCAAAAGATGGGGAGAAACCAGTGCAAAAAGGCTGAAAATTCAAAAAACCAGAACGCCTCTTCTCTTCCAAAGGATCACAACTCCTTGCCAGCAAGAGAACAAAACTGGACAGAGAATTAGTTCGATGAATTGACAAAAGCAGGCTTCAGAAGGTGGGTAATAACAAACTCCTCTGAGCTAAAGGAGCATGTTCTAACCCAATGCAAGGAAGCTAAGAACCTGGGAAAAAGGTTAGACGAATTGCTAACTACAATAACCTGCTTAGAGAAGAACATCAATGACCTGATGCAGCTGAAAAACACAGCACAAGAACTTCATGAAGCATACACAAGTATCAATAGCCAAATTGATCAAGTGGAAAAAGGATATCAGTGATTGAAGAGCAACTCAATGAAATAAAGCGAGAAGACAAGATTAGAGAAAAAAGAGTGAAAAGAAACAAACAAAGCCTCCAAGAAATATGGGACTATGTGAAAAGACCAAATCTACACCTGATTGGTGTACCTGAAAGTGACGGGGAGAATGGAACCAAGCTGGAAAACACTCTTCAGGATATTATCCAGGAGAACTTCCCCAACCTAGCAAGGCAGGCCAAGATTCATTTTATGAGGTAAGCATCATTCTGATAGCAAAACCTGGCAGAGAAACAACACACAAAGAAAATTTCAGGGCAATATCTCTGATGAACATCAACGGGAAAATCCTCAATAAAATACTGGCAAACCGAATCCAGCAGCACATCAAAAAGCTTATCCACCACAATAAATCGGCTTCATCCCTGGGATGCAAGTCTGGTTCATCATGCACAAATCAATAAACATTATCCATCACATGAAGAGAATCAATGACAAAAACCACATGACTATCACAATAGATGCAGAAAAGGCCTTCAACAAAATTCAACAGCTCTTCATGCTAAAAACTCTCAATAAACTAGGTATTGATGGAACGTATCTCAAAATAATAACACCTATTTATGACAAACCCACAGCCAATATAATACTGAATGAACAAAAACTGGAAGCATTCCCTTTGAAAACTGGCAGAAGACAAGGATGCCCTCTCTCACCACTCCTATTCAACATAGTATTAGAAGTTCTGGCCAGGGCAATCAGGCAAGGGAAAGAAATAAAGGGCATTGAATTAGGAAAAGAGGAAGTCAAATTGTCTCTGTTTGCAGATGACATGAACGTATATTTAGAAAACCCCATCGTCTCAGCCCAAAATATTCTTAAGCTGATAAGCAAATTCAGCAGTCTCAGGATACAAAATCAATGTGCAGAAATCAAAAATCACAAGCATTCCTATACACCAATAACAGACAAACAGCCAAATCATGAGTGAATTCCCATTCACAATTGCTACAAAGAGAATAAAAAACCAAGGAATACAACTTACAAGGGATGTGAAAGACCTCTTCAAGGAGGACAACAAACCACTGCTAAAGGAAATCAGAGAGGACCAAACAAATGGATAAACATTCCATGCTCATGAGCAGGAAGAACCAATATTGTGAAAAATGGCCATACCACCCAAAGTAACTTATAGATTCAATGCTATCCCCATCAAGCTACTATTGACTTTCTTCACAGAATTGGAAAAAACTACTTTAAATTTCCTATGGAACCAAAAAAGAGCCCACATAGACAAGACAATCCTAAGCAAAAGGAACAAACCTGGAGGCATCATGCTACCTGACTTTGAACTATACTGCAAGGCTACAGAAACCAAAACAGCATGGTACTGGTACCAAAACAGAGATATAGACCAATGGAACAGAACAGAGCCCTCAAAAATAATACCACACATCTACAACCGTCTAATCTTTGACAAACCTGACAAAAACAAGCAATGGGGAAAGGATTCCCTATTTAATAAATGGTGTTGGGAAAATTGGCTAGCCATATGTAGAAAGCTGAAACTGGATCCCTTCCTTACACCTTCTACAAAAATTAACTCAAGATGGATTAAAGACTTAAACGTAAGACCTAAAACCATAAAAATCCTAGAAGAAAACATAGGTAATACCATTCAGGACATAGGCATGGGCAAAGACTTCATGACTAAAACACAAAGACCAATGGCAACAAAAGCCAAAATTGACAAATGGGCTCTAATTAACTAAAGAGCTTCTGCACAGAAAAAGAAACTATCATCAGAGTGAACAGGCAACCTATAGAATGGGAGAAAATTTTTACAATGTATCCATCTGACAAAGGGCTAATATCCAGAATCTACGAAGAACTTAAACAAATTTATAAGAAAAAAACAAACAAGCCCATCAAAAAGTGGGCAATGGATATGAACAGACACTTCTGAAAAGAAGACAGTTATGCAGCCAACAAACATATGAAAAAATGCTCATCATCACTGGTCATTAGAGAAATGCAAATCAAAACCACAATGAGATAGCATCTCATGCCAGTTAGAATGGTGATCATTAAAAAGTAAGGAAACAACAGATGCTG